CATAAGGTGGTCCTGGCCAGGTTCGTTTTGACGACCCATTTGTCTGTAGCCGGATGTAGCAGGGGTAGAACCATGGAGACCAGTAAATAAACACATATACAGCATATATGACGTCATGATATGTATGATTTAATAGATTAGTAAAAATACATACATACATCAACAAACATTTTAACATGCACATAATATCGATATCCAGCTTTAATCTTTTATTCCGGTTTTAAATCTCATGTTCTTGCTCCAGGGGGTTCGAATAAGGTTTCTAAAAGACATCAACGGTCGGGCTAATAACTGCGTACTCCGCCAACGGCGACTATCTACAAATAAAAACAAATGTGAAATGAATCATGTGTCGATGTGGTAGACTATGCTGGCTTGTAATCTTAATCTGGGTGTACGAATACTGTTCATTGATTAAACGATCATATCATATCATACTCATAGTTTTAAGAGTTTACTTTTTCATCTAAAAGAATATTGCATTGCCTATAGGTTTATTCATATCGGTAATCAACTTACTTTATATGGGTGTTCAGTGATCCGTTTTGATTTCTAAGGGAGCAAATAAAACAACAATTTCAGAGAAAGTGGTGATGGGTTTAAATCAAGTAATAAAACACATTGATGTTTTTAACAGCGAACACGACGCGACTTAGCGCCCGTGCCGCTGTAAACGTTGACGTAATAACGATGATACCGAGTTTATCCTAAATACGAGTTTCTTACCTGCGTTATGACCAGCAGCCAAAGAGTTGATACAGAACCCATCGGGGTTGATTTCAGAGTCCACCCACTCTCTGTCAACGTTCATAGTCACGATTTTACAGCCTCGTTTAGTTACGGCGTATAGCTCACCATCGTGTTCCCCGGTCTGAATCACGCACAGGTCCTTGAGTTTAACGCTGTCGGTGGCAGGATTGAACCAATCGTTCACCAGGGAATTGCGAGATCTAAGATAACCGTCAACACTCAGACCCAGGATGCGACCGTCTACCGGGTTATATTCGATGCCAGCACCACAGCAAGCGAAGGCGGGAGCCTCTTGCCAAGAGCCGTCAATTAAACCACGGATCAGGAGACTACCGTCCGTGCTGATAGCTAAAATCATTCCATCCCATCGTATGGCGATATCTTTAACACAACAACTGTTCTCTACCGGTCCCTGCCATCCCCATTCACCATCTTGGTCCTTCCATGCGTATAAGGAATCGTCTTTCATGCCAATTCCCAGCAATACGCCTGTCTTCATTATAACAACTTTAGACATACCATGGGCGTTTTTTATCGGTTTATTCCAAGTCTTCGATAACCAGTCCAGAGTTCTAACATTGTTGTTTTCATCTACACCGATGACGGTCGGTGTTCCTTGCTCATCGTCATCTATAGAAAACAAGGTGAAAATGTCGGTATCTTAATATTGAATATCGAACCCTGTTAGTTGCCGCGGCGTAAATGGTTATTAGGTCAGTGTTATTTTAATCTTTGGTCAAACATACTATTTTCGAGGTGTTTCATTTGGTTTTGTTCTAAGCGACTACACAAACAAATATGGTTGTCGAGTTGAACAATGTTGTTTTCACGTCACAAAAGCAATTCGTCGCTTGGTGGCGCGATTTATATGAAAAATGGTACTATACAATATTGAATGTAAAAGATACGAAAAAAGGTATATTCGTTGGATTTTATTTTTACTGAATCATTCCTTCAGTGAAAATTAATTCCAAGCGAAAATAAAGTATTTTACACTATTGTCTCACGATACGGATGTACGAAACCTTTGATGAGAATTGTGACAGTGTTCTCAGGCAATGTAAATGAGCATATCCATTTGACCCAAAATTATAATCTTATATATGTTGAAACTATAGCGGGAATGATTATAACTTACCAGCTTGTACCGTATTGCCTGTTCCGAATATAGAGCCTAACGTCCCCGCATATGTCTGTTGAGAAGCAATAACTATGTTACAAACAAAAACGCAAGGTATTTTGAAATTATCTGGATAACAGTATGTTGGTTCGTACTCTTGTTAGAGGCGGGCTGAAAGAGGTGGTGATTTTACTGATCTATATATCTGGTGTTGTTGGACTCAGGGGTTTTGCTGCGCTGTGAAGGTAATCGGCTTACATTTCTCGTGAGCTTTCACATTACATTTCACATTACGTTGATTTGTGAACATATGCAGTAATATTCAAACATCTTTCTTAATTTCCATAAAACGATCAAAAAATAACCTAGACAGTGTATGTTGTCGATCGAATCCTTCCACTAAAAGTTAACGATACAAAGTACAAATGACATCACCCCGTTAAATAAACAAATAGAAATGTTGCAATAAGTTTACGTTTTCTTTATGTTGATGGACTAGTGATACAACTAAAGAACTACTTTCAGAAAATTGTCATAGTCGCCTAACCACAAAATAGTCCAACAGTCTGCAATGAAGAGGTATTCTGCTGCTCCTACATCGTACTTTTGTAAGAGACTCATCCCAGGGCGCAACATTAAATGTCGATGATGAGAAAACGACTTACCTGTTGTACCACTGCCAGTACTAATAACGATACAATAACGTTCATGTTGCAACCGATATCTCCGGTGTAGATGAGAAGGTAGGGGGTGTGAATCGTTGGTGACGATAATTCTAATAACTTTATATACTGTATTATTTGCATACCGGTGTAACAGGTCTTCCTATTCGCTATAGATACGGATAGTGCTAAATGCGGATAGCACAGCCGGCACGGTAAACATATTGCGTAATGACATAATCCGCAAATTTAGGTGTCAGATTGGTCGTGAATAAATAATTAAACGTCATTTTCGTCACTAAATATTTATTTGTGAAATTGCAGTTGATACAAGTTGTGCGGTCATTGAAATTGTGAATGTAGAATGGCACTGGCAGAGATAAATGAAAAGGAATTGTATATATCGTGTTGTCTTTTTTGTATGTTGTACACATACGCACGCCCAGCAATGATAAAACGATATTCATTTCGAACTTCAATTTGTTACCAATTGTATAGTATTTCCTGAATATTCTCTTAACGCAAAATGCGTGTATACATGGACTGTGCCTGTGATGCATTAGCCAGTCACGTGTATTACCGTACACACCAGGCGTATGTGAGTGGTGACGGGAAAATTACGATTTCCGGTCTCCTGCATTTACTAGTACTCATCTCCTAACTGAAATTACGACGTAAAACAGTGTTAAAAGTGTTACGTCTGAGTATGTGTGCGGAAAATACAACATATCGTTCATCTTAACAAAACAAAATTGCTTACTGAACCAAATTTGACGGACGGGTCTACATGTATTTAATATTATTAACATTTGATTAACATCGTATATGCATAAGGAACGACGTCAAAAGATCGATGTCGGATAAAAAACTTATTTCTTTTAGTTTGGGGGTGGGGGTGGGGGTTACCTCAAAAAGTTTCCATCCTACAAAAACGATTTTATTTTTTAATGAAATCAAAAAATCTTGGAGTATTTGTAGTTCTATCCAATCATGGACAGAAATAACCGAAAAGGGAGAAAAAAACAGAAAAATGGTTTGGTTCGAGTGTAAATCTGGTGCGTCAAATGATGTGCCATTTGTAAACTCTTTTTACACCCACCCGACAACCAACTGCTATACTGCCCGATTATCAATTTATATTTAATGATGAATCGTGTAGTCTGACGCCATGACCAATATTTATCAATTAAGTTTCAGTGGGGGTAGGGGGGTTTGAAAAAAACAAAACTAAAGGAATTAAGTTTTTTATCCGACATCGATCTTTTGACGTCGTTTAGGATATTTCTTGAGATAAAATAGGATTTCTGTTCTGTGTTGGAACTCGGCTCTCCTCCACCGGGCTGTGATAGTCCGCGAATAACGATATGATTGCTCTAATTCGTCCCATGACAGGAGAATTCCGTCATCGTCATAGGGCGTGGTCATAGTGACTAAAACACATGAACGTGACAAGACATTCATACTGACGTTGCATGGATATGTGTGAAATACGGGAAATAAAGTCGAGCACGTTCGTCGTATTGCTATCGATCAGTTCGTCATCAAGTGTCACATCTCCATTATACTAGTAATGGTTTAATTTGCGCGTCTTTATAATTCGGAACATCGATAAAACGAATCTCAAACATTTGGGGGGCAATTCGAGAACATTCGCGCCATCAAATACATTCAGAAAAAAACAAACTAAATATTAAAGTAGTATCGTAAATTGCATCGTTTAAGACATATAGCTAAGTCATGTGCAGCTCCACGTGCTACTCTTGGGCCTCACACCCATCGTGCTTTTATTTATGAGCATCGGTAGGAGACTGGTCAAGGAAATTAACATGCTATAGATACCATACCATGGTGCCAGTACAGCTGAGAACAGTTGACTACACAGTAACTAGTCAGTCTATCCTAAAATACACTTTATAAATTTTAAAGTAGAAAACCTGCATTCAGACAGCGATCACTTTCTTATAAAAACACTCTGTAAACACCGCATTATACACCAATTAATAATATTAATATAGATTTGAATCTAGTACCATCAAGTTATCAATGGAATAACATTAATAGATAATTATGTAAACTATTTATGAAAACATAAACCACTCTGTTCTAGTAATGAGTTATAATGTTATAGTGTTCTACATTAGCTATATTCGTTTAGTCCAGTGCTTTTTGTTTTTCAAATAGTGCGCAAAAATACTACTAATATATCCCTGCGAATATATCCTTATTTGCGGTAATTTTTAGTCAAAGTTCGTCTCGTCCAAGATTACCAAAAATTACGTGGAATTCAATTTGACAAATTAGTCTTCAAGTGAAGTAAAATTGGGACTTATCGAAACCAATACTTTTTTTTCATATACATCTGGGGTCTATGATCCCTGGAACGTTGTTCGAATGGCAACCTCCGCCATTCTATTCGAGCTCATCCCTCCCTGTGGTATAAGGATATTGTATTCAAAGTAAACATTGTTGTTCAAATCCCCAAATAACGACATGACAGATCATATTTTTGATATCTAATTTACGGACGCAAACGGGAGCATTATAGGGAATTTTAAAGTTGGCAGATTGGCTTATGATTTACAATGAAGTCAAATTGCCTTGGTGTAGCACACATCTACGTGTTCGTTGATCAAAACCATTTTTGTTACACGTTGAATATTATTGTAAGGAAATAACAATTACAAAATGCAATTCGAACATCGACATCTAGTATCAAAAATATGTTGTTTGTTTATATCTTTAAAATAAAAATTCAACCATCAAAATAGTTTGTTGTCTACACATAAGAGAAATAAGTGTTCTTAGACTAGCAAGTTTGATCATGATTACAGGATTATTGTTACACCACGGTTACTAACAAAAAATGTTAATGTGCTAACGCCATATGGGCGTTTTTTCGTCTCTTTAATAACGTTGTCGATTTCTAAACACGTCGAAATACGCAAGTGTTAATTTGAATTGTATGACAGGTCAATGACGTCAGCACATCGCTATGTCGTTACACATTTGGTGCCATCTGACGCCATGATATCGCCGTGGCTGGTCTCAGGCTGCCTCATCGTACAGTCCATATCATATCCATTGCATCTGTCTGAATTGAGTTATCAACTTAGGTAACATTTTATTGACGTCACTGAATCACATCAATAATAATTAGATATTAGAATAATTAGAATATTGTGCATGGGAATTGTTATTAAACGTGAATCGTGCGTGTGCTCCCGAGTCCACTGATTGTGCTGAAATAGCACTGAGAACACACGGTTTTCCGAGCAAACCTAGTAATGCAGCTAAAATGTGTTTGTTGAATTAGCACCACCGTGACAGTATTCATTCAGTGTGCGTTTAAACTTCGTGTAAATAAACGATGTATTTCAGTTACTGTAAAATATTTTTTTTTCGCTGAAATTACATTTTGGGTGTTTTGTATGAAATTTATTATCACTGATTTCTAACGAGTTGAGTGCAAAATATAGGGAAAAGGGTATATCCGTTGAATTTTATTTTCACTTAATCATTCCTTCAGCGAAAATTAATTCCAAGCGAAAATAAAGTGTATTTTACAGTACGTGCGTTGGTTGTGAAGGGAACCTGTGGATTGTTGCTAAACTAAATACATATATTGGAAATACCAGACAATGTTAGTCCGGATATTACGTCGTGTACTGTATGTACAGTATTCAAAACAATTTGACGAACAACCCAAAATAGCGCCGATAAAATATCTCCCCACCCCAAGTACGAAGTCCGTGTCAGGGTGTGTTATCCCGACATAATATATCAAACTGAGATACAAGAAATCAGAACTGCAAAATAAAATGCGACTTGTAATAATAACATAAAGACGAATTATATTACGTCATTAGCAAAGACCAGGAGAAATTGTACGCATTATGACATTACTGGGGGGGGGGGTATCTGGTACAGATTACAGGAAATAAAAAGAGGTATTTTACGTTTTTACAGGAAATAAAATTAAAGTTCCATTTACAGTAAAAAAAAAAGGTTTTTATACTTTACAGATAAAACAAATTCCTGATTATATTTAACATTATATTATATTTGATAATTTGTTTTTTAAAAATCAAAATTGGAAATTGCGTACGAATTACGACATTTAACATGAAAAATGCTTCATACGCTTACAACAAATAAGATATTTGTACAAATTACGAGCTAATAAAATAGCTTATTACATTTTACACCTTGCCCGCGTCTACGAATTTACTTTTTTTTATTGATTTAAATTACATTACTAGTATTACGAGAATAAAATCAATTGATTACAGCTTACGAAAATACCCCTTGCCGACCCTCATTACTGTTTTAGTTTCTGAGTCTGGTCAGATCTGTTTCATCATGGAGGTACCTCCATGGTCTCATAAAGACGATGAACACAAGTGGCCGTGTGGCAATTAAAACACGGCTGCTAAAAAAAATCTTTGCTAGCAATTTAGCGACACATTTAATGACGTAATCAGACAATCTGTTGCCATTTACGATTGTTTACAGAATAAATGGTCAGAATAATGTTACATTACGTCATCTACCCAGAGTGTAACAATGCATTAATATATAAATAAACCAATAGAATGATAATACTATATTTATCAGTACGTGATTCGCTGCGAGAAATGTTTATTGTTTGACAATTATTTTTGCAATGAAGGACAAATTCAACTCCGATATTAGCGAGAACATTTAAATGGTCTATTATTTTAAAGGTCGATGGTCATCGCGCAGCGCGTGACCGAATTTCATGCAAGCAAACAGTGTATTTTACACGCGTTGTATACGTCGCTATGAGTCCCATAGGACGCGGCGCTACGACTATTGATATAGATGCAGGTTCATGTGTACTTAGAGTAACATTTTTGTGAGATAAGGGTAAAAACGTTCGCCATTTACAAGCGCCTTTTGTCTTTTTTCACTCCGACGCACGTATGAGGTCAACAATTTTATTTTATTTTATAGATTAACTCACTGTAGTTTGTTTTAGTGTTGAATAATAATATGAGGTTAATACATGGATACCGAAAAGTATGCACGAAGACAGTACAGCGGTAGTGTCGATCGACGAGCAGCTGAGGTCGATGTGATGGCGTACTTTGTGATGTTAGTATCAAATTATTGCGTCGGAATTGTATTTTGTCATGCCTACATTTTAAATTCGATACCTATTTTGAAAATGGTTATAATGAGGCGAATATGGAGATAAGTTTGCATAATTCATTCGCTGGAATATATAGGCGGGGAGGTTGGACAAGTGATATAAACAGCTGACAGCGATTCGCATGGCCTCAATGTCGTATGTAAATGATAATACTGTACACCAGTATTTGATTTCGCGTCAACTAACTACGTGCCGAGAAAATAATATACCTTTGTTAGCAATTCATGTCAGGTTTGATGCTGTCAATTCCTGGTTGGAGCTTTGTATATCTTCACCCATGTAATATTTCTACTCATTCACTTCCCATGCGATATTCATATTTTCGAAACTATTTTAAAATCATGAATGTTTTTTTCCACACCACCTGCTCAATGTAACTATTTTGTTTCAGAATTTGCGAAAATTGAAACATAAAAGCTGCCATCAGTCCCATTCAATAATTAAACTTATGCTTTACATAAATGCGTAACAGTGGCTAATTGTTACATTAAATTGTCTATTCATGTACACATCCAAAACTGGAGTCATTTGTATGGAGCGCCCCCATCGTTGATAATGATACACATATTCTGACATTGATGCACTATCACAATTGGAAAAGTCACACGCGGAAAGCAGTCGCAACATAATTTTTTTCTGAAACTGCGGTCAATTTTATTATTTAAAGAGGAATCTGGGTATCTAGGATATATATACATCGTTTTACTAACTATTATCACAAAGTTTGATTAATAGCACCTTCTGAATCGCATGACTTTACAGCCTTTTATATCCACAATAAATCATAGGAATAACTGACTTATAAATATAACAAAGTTGTAAAATTAAGATGGCATGCCTTGCCTTTTGAGTAGAGAACTGCATTTCCGCAACGAAGTTTAAAAGATAGAAGTGCTATGTCAAGTTTTGTTGTAAAACGATAACGTATTTGTGCATGTTTTATCGTCCCATGCCTCCTTGGAAAAAGTGCCGATTACTGTAAACCGCTTATTTTCATTGCTAGGAATGTTGGTGATTTGATTTGATGACATTCATGAAGACAAAATGTTGTACAACCGAACACTGCATCAGAGGACCGCAGAGTAATTTAGCACTTTTCACAGACTCACGAAGATTTCGCCAAATTAAAACCATTTACTGTAATTACGAGACTATTGATGTTAATAGGAAGACGACCCCCCCCCCCCCCGCCGTACACACAGTTACACAGAATGTTCATTAAAGACATTTATTTTATCGAGTACGGTATATAAATAAAACACTGGTAAAAGCACATTTTACTAATCCATTTGGTAACGAAACTGACCAAGGACAGACGAAGACTAGTAATGGTAGAAGATATCATGCATTTGAGATTTCAGACTTAGATTTTATATCTAAATATGATTTGACAAATACATTGAATGAATAAACATTCAATGGATGTAATAATCAAAAAACGCTTTGTTTTCCAGTTTCATACGCATTTGTTAATAGACGGGGTGTGGGGGGCATCAGAAATAGAGCTCAGACCTCCAGGTAAAATTTGTAAAATACTCTTAAACAGTTTCAATTTTTACTGCAAGACATTTTCACAATTTTAAATTTAGTGAAAACATTACGCAAGTCACCTTCATCATAACTGGTAGTTAAATCACCGCATCCACTGCTCCAAATTATAAAGGTCAAGATAACAGAGTATGTGATAACAGCAATGTAACATCACTATATTGACTGGGGGGCGGGGGTCGCTTGCTCTCGAGATATTGGTAGCCATTTTTGAACAAGTTTGTAAAGTAAGTTTATGCAAAAGTTTCTGTGACTATTACCTTAGGACCCAGTGGTAATTTCACTGCTATAAAATTACATGGTTTCCACAGATTAAGGAAATTTGTTTCTCGAAATTAAAGCAGTTCACAGAATTCCCATGGTTATAACCGTAGGACTCGATTCAAATTACTTAGTTTAAGAATCATCTTATTTCAAGTAAGTTTCAATGCAATATAAAACTATCAATACAACATGGGATGGTAAAGGTTATCAATGCTGTATAAAAATATTAAACTTTGGTAACATTCAATGAAAGTCCTGGGACCAAATTGATTGAGGACATTTTGAAATAAAGAAGTCAGAATCATACACAGATACAAATCTTTAATAATAAAAAAAAATTAAAAAGAACTTCAACACACATGCATTTACTTTTAATTAGTACAACACATAACGCATTGTTATAACATATATTTTTGGAATGGTAATATTCATGATTTTCAAACTAGCAAACACTTACAAAAAAAAAAAAAGGCTAATAAATTCACTGCTGGTAACAATTTTGACTACAATCAGTTGAAAAAATAAAGTGCTGTGCATAAAAAAGCAATTCACTTAAAATAACATCAAAAACTGTATAACATATCCAAAAATATAAAAAGCTATGTTCTACGGGTAATAATAATTTGAAAAGTGTTGATTCATCTACACCAAAAACAAAAGTTATCTGCAATATTGCCACACGAGGGCACCAAATCAGCAATTTCATTGCTGTGTACAACAAACAATGGAAATACAAAATGTTTATGTGGCAACAAATATAGATTCTTGATTTTCACAACTATAAGATAACTTGATAATGAACAGCATTTTACATACAAAATTAAAAAAAAAATAACATTTTAATTATTTGGGTGAAATTTTTTTTAAATTGTTAGCAAGCCTGTGAAAACTTAATTGTAAATACAATGGCTTTATTCTGTACAAATTGATTTATTACTATATTACAATTGCTGTACATGTCAACAACATAAAGATATGTAACAAGTTTCTCAAATTTCACATATATCTTTTATCTGCAAACTAACTTTTCAACAATCTATATTGGAATGCAATTTATAACGTACCTCTGATAAAGTGTTTGGAAGGAAGGTTTGGGATATCACAACATACACATCTACTAAAACTAACTTTTTTACAGATCAAGTGAACTTTTAATAAATCAAATGCAGACTGTTGTTCGGCACCAGGTTCTACACTGTTCTGGCAGTAATATCGCTGACATTTTCAGAAAATATTGCAGATGTATTCAGCAAAGAATCTAATGTAATTGGTTACAACACACAATATTTGAAAATTTCCTATTGACAAAGTAGTCAAGATGAGGGACATTTATTTTGTAACTAAATTTGCGCATTTCTTTGCTTAGAAAATAGCAATCTGTACAGTTTTGTCCATGCAGGGTCTAATCTTGCGCTGTTTTACCAGTCATTCTGTATAGTTCAGATGGTTCTTCAGTAGCAGCAGAGTCGGTCAGCGTTCGCCATGCGGGGTCTAATCTTGCGCCGTTTTACCCGTCATTCTGTATAGTTCAGATGGTTCTTCAGTGGCAGCAGAGTCGGTCAGCGTTCGCCTCAGTTCGTATTCCTCATTGCTGGAGCCGCTTACATCACCTGTGCAGAGATTCACATTAGAATAAAACAAAGGTGAAGCATTACAGCATTGGCATATTGGTTACTTTCAACTATTTGCATGTATGTATCCCTCAAGAAAAAAAGTTAGTTCAGCATTAGAAGATTACGAAATCAATTTTCATATGTGACAGAGCGGCATAGGCCTGGGAAATGCATCATTGGAAATATGCTAGGTCTTGCATGTACCAGGTGTCAAGTAAAATCACCAGTGATCCAGGGTCATTTTAGCCTCCCATCGCTATCAACACTCATCAAGGATTGGGTCGTTTTTACATTCTTAATTGTATTTGTGCATATGTAACCTACCTAGCAACGTGCAAGGATATTTGAAACAGTTTTTTAAAGATAGCAGATTGAGTGTGGTAGGGTACAAATGAGGGCAGCTAGAGGAACTTTTTAAGACAGCCGAGAAACCTGGATTTCCAGTTGAAAAGATGGTTTTTTCAGAGAAAATAAACTGAAATAGAGATAGTAAGTGCGTGTTTCACAGAGTAAATATGACTGGGACATAGTTTTTCAACTCCCAAAATACCGGCACAAATATACCATTCTTAATCATGTAAAGTACAGGTAAGGCTAGTGAATAAGAATAAAACATGGAATACTTAAAAATTATTGAATGATGTTTATAAATGACTCACCATTCTGTACAGTAGATTCATATTTTCTGGGGTCTTTATGTGATGGTGCATACAGAGATAAGACAGCAAACACATAGATGTTCCACATTCCATAGACACCAGTGAAAAATGCACTGTTCACTTCCACAGTGTGCTCCTCGCCCCACTTCCATCTCCCTTCGTTGACTTGCGTGATGATAAAGAAGATGACTGTCATAGCAGCACACAGCAAGGTGAAGAACATGAAGAACTTGAAACGATAAATCAAACCCTGCGAAGATAGTAATATCGGAAATGTCTTAAACACAAAAATATGCGAATATTTTGCTTTGCTACAACCCTTTAAATGGTTCTTTCTCATCAAGTTAATAATGTATATGCGAGATAGGAAATTTAACACAGCGCCCTCTTGCGATGATTTTTTGTAATTCTGAAGTTCGTCAAAGTTTCCTCTCATATCACCGTTAATCCTAAATTGACCCAAATGTCACTGACTGTTTGCTGAGACCGAATTAATACTATATTGAAGCTGTGCATTAGTGGAGATTTCCAGTCAGGTTTTTACTTCATACTGGTTGTATGCTAACTTGTTATACAGATACTAAGTGTGGAAACACAACAGTGCTGCAATGCTTGTTTTTTTTTTAAAAGCACATGAAATTAAGAGACGAGATAAACACAGACTTGCAGTGTGCACAAAATGAACATATTTTGTATTCAGTTGAACTGTAATTCCAACAAAAGAGGATAACTGGCATGTTGTTGTGAAAAAAAACTACACTTGAAAAAAAAAAATTGCAATTTTTCCAACTGAAATATTTTCCTTTCGTAAGAGAGTAGAACAACTGTTGAACAGATGTAATTTAATTGACATCCATTAAATGAACCACACTGACTGTACACAAACCAGCCACATTCAGGGAGATTGAAAACAACTTTTTTACATCTTAAGTCGCTGAACCACATAGTTCTTACCTGGTAATGTAACTGCCTGGCTTTAGCCATGGCAGGCAGAGCTGTTTTTTTCACACTAATATTACGAAATACTCGGTAAACCATGTAACAAAGAAACATAAAATACAGAGAGGCACAGATACCAGCCACAATGATAAATGCCATCTACAAAAAGTTTAGGAAAATTCATGCATGTATAGAACACGCTATGACAATAATATCTATATTTTTTTTTTAGAATCTTGTGGCTCTATTGTGTTCCACAAGATCAAGGAGTTCATTTTATTCTAAGACCATTTGTGTAGCTGCATAACTATTGCATCATGGGAGATGTTGCGGGTCATTGTCGAGTTTTAGTAGTAGTCTTAGTTTGCCAGTGTTTGGCCATATTTCAGCAACCGTGTGGTTGCCATGGCAACCGATTTACTCAGCAATGTCTCTTCATTGGCCAAACTCTGGCCCCATAGTTTTGTTATTTAGAATAAACCTACCCCTATTGGATCCCAGACACTTGTGTGTGATTGTGCATCGTTATTCACCCCCCTTGTGGTATGCAGCCCTCTCGCAGCCTGGATTTAACAGTACATCTCTGTCAAAGTTGGAAGGAGTTTAGCCAAACCCAACTTGTATCTCAACCATATCCAACCTAGCTAAATCTATCTTAATAAGACAAAGCACTAATCCAAGTGATACATAATGTCAAATCTGTAATTTCATTCCAAGCTATTTCACGAAGATAATTTTATTTTAACTTGAATGCTCACTGAAAATTATAAACCTGGTTGGCATAATTTGGTTCACTGATTTTTGGGCTTTGGTGCGTGGCCAATGTTTTGTCATAAAATCAATGAAAAGAAAGTAAAAATAAAGTATTCCATAGAATTCAGGAACACAATAGACAATAATGTACAGTTATGTACTAAAAAGGATACAGCAAGATTCTTTCCAGTATCAGTAATCCATATACTATAAAACGGATTGCTCAACTGTACACCCCTAGTAAAGAAAAAACAAATACATTCAGTGTACTGTATATTGCCACTAGAGTTTCAAGGCACGTCAAAGCAGATTATAATATTTGAAAACGCGTTACACAAAACAAGTTATATTTTTCCAAATTGTGTTAAAAGTAATTGTTAAGGAGAAATTTGTGGGAATTAAGGACAACCATGATTTTTTTGGCAAAACACAAATTTTCATGAAATCATTTTCATTAAAAATGTTTTCTTTCAATCTGATAACACAAGCATTTTCTACCAATACAGTACCTCAAAAAAATCTATTATTTTGATCTTACCTTTCACACATATCAAACACAAATAAACATGTGCATCCAAAGACAATAGCTGTTACTTGCGTCCAATAAACTGATAAACGATTACGCTCTGTTTGGTCCTGTGAAAAGTCATTGTGAGAATTGTCTTGAGGTTGTACCCATTTGTTAGTATTCAAATAGATCCATGAGTCAGTGGACAGACAGAAGAATTTTATGTCAATGTATGTAAAATGTATAGCATCCTCAGCAAGAAATATAAGAAAGTCTATGAAACAAAATTTTGTTTCGAGACAAACTGCCTATCACTAAATTAGGCACAATAGAATGTCTCTGCACAAATCAATGATTCCAACATAAAGCAGTACATTTTCTGGTACGACATGAAGACCAGTTTATTTTGTAGCGAGTCATGAACATCAGTTCATTTTGTGGCATATGATCGATAACATAGTCTCAATATAATAAAATATAAGAAGCAATGAAACAGAAAAGATGATTATAAAATAGTTTATAAATACTGCCATCTGGTGGTGACAAACAGAAAGTACATACCATCAAGTGTTCTCCAGCAAAGATAATCCAGAAAGAGAGCAGCATAGAGTAGAATATACCCTGTCTGATATCACTGATAAGTAACATGAAGGGAATATCCACAGATAAAGTCAACCATTCTATGGGCACTAAAAGCAAACAATATATACAATATAATACAATAATTTTGTTTTCAACATTTTTATTTTCTAAGATACAGACAATACAAACCATTAGCATCTTATTAAAAGTTGTATTCCAACTTTTTATAATATGCAAAACACTACCCACTCATTATTTGATCACCATAAAATATTGGGAAAAAAAAATCAAAGAAAGCTTAGAAAGAACTCCCGTGTGCTGAGAGTATTGGAAACTTAAAAAATTAATTCAAATTAATTACAGTGTAATTAGAAAAGCTGGAAACTAATTATGCAAATCAGGAAATTACTATGAACAGATTTGCACATAGGAGTAAAAAAAAGTTTTGCAACATAACTTAAAATATTAGATCACTGAAGCTAGCCTTCAATGATGGTCATATAGTCCAATCAACAAATCAAACAAAATTTGTTGTTGTTGAAATCACTTATTTTCGAAGTGTTTTAATGATAAAATAATTTTAAGTATTCAACTTTTGGATTAGATTTCTCATTAACTGCTTGTAACCCAAATTCTCTATGATGTTCACAGGGGTCAAGGGTCAGTCAGAGTTTTTCTACAGATCATGCAAAGTGGGAATTGAACTTTCAATTCTCAATGGGAGATAAATATGTGAATCATGGAATTGGAAGTAACTTTTTTGAGACAACTATACTGCCAGTGTTGTTGTAGTATGAGTGAATAAGGCAAGTATTGTGCAGGTGGTGTACATGTATTGAATATGATGCTTTAAATTACATTACTGTAGTTGTCCGAGTATGAACCCTTTGGGAAAACGGCAAATTGCCGAAAAAATTAGGGGGGGGGGGGTTATAAATGGATAAGTTAAAACTGAATAATAATCAGATAAATGACTTGTTGTAAAAATGCTGTAAATTTGGATGGAGGCTTATACTTGAGTAGGGGTTTATACTCTGACAACTCGGTAGATGATGGTTTTTAATATCTACTTACAATCCAATATTATGAGAGATATTCCCAAAGCCAATATAGTCCTGGAAGTAGAAAGAAACAATGTCGTTATTGAGGTCACAGTGAACTCTTTTCTCATGCACTGCAAAAGCAAAGCTTGGCTTGTCTGTATAAACGAATTAATTATTAAATGTACCGTCCTCATGACGACACAAATTCACATTATCAGTCTAAATATTGAGAAAATCAAGGCAGAGTTGACACATAACTGAAGGTTGCTTTTTTCATAAGATTTTGATGAGATCTAAGTTGTATGTTGGGAAGTCGCAAGCCCTTAATTTTATCTGCCCTTGACCATGCATTGCACATTACCTTTCCATTAAAACAGATTGTCTGTTCAAAGCACACACACGTCTCCAGAACCAGATAGTCATCATGATGATCAGAGGAGTTACAAAAGTTTTCAGTGCAAACCAGACTTTAGTAAAACCGCCATTTTGATGAATTTCCTAAAAATAAAAAAATAAATCTTATTTTGGCTTATGTACTTATTGTAAATTTGTCCATACATACCATACAATGTAAACAATGGTGCTAAACATAGTGTACTTATTACAACCTTGCTACTGGGGAGGAGAAAAAATTATTTTAGTTCACCATTCAGATAACAAGAACTGATAAATTTCTTTCTTTTGCAAAATGTTATTCTAAATAAATACACAGGCAAGACAAACATCTAAAGAGTCATCTGGAAGTCACTGAAAAACTTCAAAATTAGTTCAGTTATAAAGACAAAAACTCCGGTCCCATTAGTATATACATGTATCTCTCAAGTCTCTGCACACTACCAGATACTCAGTACTTACAATAATGTGAATATCCTGCAGTTTTCCCAAGTCTAAATTGATGTCTTTGTGTTCATGAACGGGTACCCGTATGTTGATCAGATAGTAGTCATGGTGACAGCTTCCTAACTCCATGAACGGCATTGGATCACAATGATATGTATAATCATTGCTCTCTGGAATCTAAGTAAGAATTTATCAACATACATTAAGAATTGCACTCCGAGATCATGATACATTTGGTTTTATGGCATTTGGGAAATCAATATACCAAGCAATTTGAATGACAGAATATGTGGAAATTCATGTAGTACATTTTGTACTGTAATTTGTCCCAAAATTTATTCATTGCATATGAATGTAAATGATCATTTCAGCTTTCATTTATTTTGATGTTGTTCAAATTTGCTATTTTGAACAATTGAACCCATCACCTGATTTACAAGTACAGTGCACAATGTTGTCACGCCTTTAGCAGATTGATCTTTTTAACTTCTAATGTGTATGAGCTAAGCCAATTGCAGAAAAGACTTCACATGTGGGCATCGATCAATGACAAGATTTGAAAATGTTATTTTCTAAATAGAAACCTCTCATTTTAATTGGAATTTGAAAGGTATAAATATTCATAAATAACAAAGACACTGGGTCCATGGTTATGATGCTATCTCACAGGTTTTCACATACATTAATGATTGTAGCCCAAAAATAACAAGGGAGTATTGTCTGAACTCACCAGAGGTCTGTCAAATGTACATTCTAGTTTCCTCTCCTCCGTGGTTTTAATCAACTCTTTCCAGTCTCCTGGTGCATCACCTTCGTTTCGGTAACCAAGGCTTATCTCCATTGTTATTACTGGATCTGGACCTATCAAAAAGTGAACATACTTTGCAGAGTCACCATAGTAACCAATTAGATGAAAAAAAACAACTAAATAATTTAAGAAAGTTGGCAAAATTTGTTGAGAAGTTGTCATTTTTTTTATGATGTAGAAGTGTAAATTAACGCTGTTTCAGGACTGGGTCATTGTGTGTAGGACCGGTAGATATAAATACCCCTTTTCCTATTGAAGGCACACAGACCTGCAGTTTAGGTCAACCTCCATATGTACCTATTACTTTTTTACCAATCATATGCAATACATGGCCGACTCAGTGGTACATGTATACTAGTTTAACTCTTGTTAAACGTTGTAATTTTGGTCCAAACCTTTTTTAACAACAATGTGTTGATGAGTTTCTTTTTTTAATAAACATCAGAAAAATCAATCTGCAAACGAGTTAATAAAATATCGCACCACCAGCCACCAACTTTTTTCTTTGTTTCAAATCGAAAAAAACTTCTGGCCTTTGAAATTGATGAGCAGACACACCAGAGACAAATCTAATTTTTCTGTTAGCTTTAAGTTTATATTTTCTCAGTCATAACAAATTTATTTGCTGAATAAGTTGATAGAATTTATCATCAACTTTAATTTCACTTTTATTAAAGAAACCCAACCAGAATTCGGAAAAGAGACAAACGCAGCAGAAAGACTATAAATCAAACCATAGGAAGTCCCATGACTTTTTAGGCAGCATGATAGATGAAGTTCAAGTGGCTACTTTTCAATAACATCAACTACTGTAAAATCTGTTTTAGAAACCGCGATTTCTATTAAAATAGTACAATGCAACAGAGAGAATGCGGTTTCTATTAGAACATCTACACATATGAGAAATTGTGACTTTTTTGGTTCTCAATTGTTCATAAAGAATGGGTGCGGCTTCTAATACAGATTTTATGGTACTGATGCTTACAAATATTGAAGCGAAAATGTGTCAATAAAAATACACGCTTACAATTATTAGTTGTGTTGAACCGTTGCCATAGCAATTTGCATGAAAAACAATCAGAACCAACTCTATTTTGTTAGAATGTGATATTAAACTTGTTTTTAAGTGGTCCTTCTGACGAGAAGCTTATTTAGGTTAATTTCCAACACTGGATACAAACTCTGTAATATTGGTTGTATCATAGTTTTTTCAGTTAAAAGACCACATGTCGATCAAAGAACTTCACAGAATTTTTTTTCATACACTATTCTTATTTGTTATTGAATTGGGTAACCATGGTATTATATACTTTCAATTCACAGGATATATTAAGTTCATGGTGTATACACATTTTGTGAAAGTTTGATTCACCAGTGCATTCAAACAAGGAAGACTATTTGAGGAGTAATCACTCCACTCTCCTCCAAAATCAGGTTCCAAAAGAGCTAATTATCATTCTTTTGAATAAATTTTAAATAGCATTAAGCTCCCCTGATCATTTGCGTTACGGTGTTCAGGAGAGCTATGTCTTGATTGCCAGTCATTCTCAAAAGACAAAGACTGCTCAATGAAATATAAAAAGGAAATCTGGACACTAAGTTATAAACATTCCAAAACGTCAGTAAGCCATTGTACTTTTCAGAATAGACACACAATAATTAAAGGGCGGTGGTCATCGTGTGCATCATTTGTGTTGATAAACATTGCGCTTTTTCTAATGAAATCTTGAGTACGAGTTTTGACATGCCGCTGGCGACTCTTTCGATATCTTCCAATCAACAAAATAAATTACCCAAGTAAAGCTTGGTAACCTCTCTGAGAGTTTGTCTACGCAACAATCAAAGTCACCATTTTTGTTTATACAAGAACCATATCCCACATATGCATGGCACGATGCCCACAGTCCATGAATATGAAACCCAATTTGGTGGCATTTCCCAAGAACATAAACCTTCTCTTGCACAGGTACACATGCATAGGAGGTCTCATGAAAGTGTTGTATCATGTACAATTACCTAGGGGGCTTCATGGAATCATTGTATTTTCTACACTTAGCTAAGGGGCTTCATGGAAGCAATTTACTTTTCTAGGGTGCTTTAAGGAAGCATGATATTAAATACACTTACCTAGGGGGTTTTCATTATGATAAGCAATGGTGATATCCATAACAGTCAAAATATACTGAAACCAGCGAGACATTTTGTTGGGTCTGTTAGGAATTTCAATAGAGAATACGATTTGATTTGCCACTATCTCCTGTTCAATAGCGTCTTCCAAGTCAACAATCTTTTCACAGGCAAACTCTCCCCATGGTATGAACCACTGCTGCTTATGCCTATGTTTCCCTGTGTCCACACATTTATTTGTTAAATGTGGATATGCAGTTGTTGGCGAGGGTGCTGTAAAAAAAAGAAAACTTTATTATTAAGCTTATAATCATTTCAAAGAAGAATGATTTTAACTTGAATGAAAAAAAGATCTATCATTTTATGAGCTGTAAATTTTGCATCTATTGAATTTTAAAATCTTAAGTTCTGTATTTAATAATCTGGAAATTAGATGGTCATTATTAATAATTGTTAGAAACTTTCAAAATACTAAAGTCACATAATTAATAACCCACTATACCATGAACGCAATATTTGATTTATGTACGCCTCTATTAAACACAAATAGAACAAATAGAACAAATACGGTAATTCCACACTGTAGTCATTTACCGTGAACTCTAAGTGAACTTAGTAAGATTTCATCTGTATCGCGTATTTCTTAAACTCAATAACTGTAGTGACTGTACTTTGCGTTATTTAACCTGACCAAGATAACTAGGTAATATGAACATAATAATTGAAACAGAAATGTTACTGATGTTTAATGTGATGAACATATATACTGATAACAAGAGAATTGATGCATAAAACACCGTAAAGTAAACTCAGCACAATCTGATAAATTCGTTTTCGAACACAATGAGTCATACCTAAGCTTACTAGACGGTAACCTCACTCTGTTGCAGTTTAATGCAATATTTCACATTTTATTGGCCTTCTGTGAGTGTAGACACCGACAAGGCTCCATCGTCGGTGCAGATCAAAGCCATGCGGTAGTTACATAGAAGAGACAGTGACCTGAACTGCCAACCCCTGATGTAATAAATCCATATTGTAACGTCTCATGAAATTGCTTTTTTTTTTTTGATACAGCATTGCCATAGTAATGTGTCTCCCTGCTGGGGTTCAGAAAATGTGTTTGAAATATCAATCAGACCGAGCCAGACAATAAATGTGACCATTTTATGGTATTCATTAAATACCTGGATGCCATCATGAATTTTAATAATTACCGTACATGTAGGTGAAACATTTTACCATGGGTCATAGTATTCTCACATTACAGAGTAGCCAACTTAAATCCAGGTATACTCACATTATCAATATTTACACATGTATGGAATTCATTTTTTTTAATAAATTACAGATTCTCACTAATTTTGAATACAAGAAATTTTCCAGAGCCCTGTGAAATCTCCTCTGCTATCCAATTGCAAATTTAACACTATTTACATTACATTAATTACATTACTATCAATGCAACAAACCCAATTCCCCTCGCTTTTATAAATATTTATAAATTTCAATGGCAGTTGAATACATCCAGCCAATCAATGAGCGCAGTGCATGACATCATCTGATGACATGTTCTTCAGCCAATAGAAACCTCTTGTTTCTGTTTTGATTGTCAATCTTAAAAATGTTTATAAAAATGAAGAAAATATAGTATCAACAATGAATTTGAAAACCAGAATGATGTTTTGCGTCTATGAATCTAAACACACATGTACATTCACAAATCAGTTACGCCGCATACATTGTATCACAGTACTAGTAACTTAATTAATTGAGCACTAAAATTACTGGGTAATTAAAATATGCAACACCTAATTAACTACAAGTATGTGTAATGTTTGCCCTGGAAAGAAATTTGAATGGCATTTGAACGGCATTAAACTTCGTAAAAATTGAAAAAGTCAGGAAAATGAAATCAAATAACTTGCATTTATTCATTCGTCTTTGCAAGAAACCAGTGTCAACACCGTAAGCTGTGAGAAACCAGCACACGCACAGCATGATTGGAAAGTCTTGTTTAATGTTCGAGTGCATTCTGCTTGGTATTGAGTCATTCTTTCATAATTTGCTGGAATTCTGTCCAGTTGTATCTTCACTTCGCTGATTATTTCAGCAGCAGGTCTTGCACATTGCCAATACAAGTGAATCAATTACAAGGTTAAATTTACACCCATTTTTTGATTTCAAAAATAGACCATAAAAGCTTTCACGATAACAGGAAAGTCATCATTGTAGATTGAAAAAAAAAATAGACTGCCACAGTCAAGTCGTCAATGTAATTAAACAAGCAGACTAATTTAATGATTAAACTAACACCCAGGGGGTTTCGCAAGAGCGGCTTGAGATACGTTTTTTTTTTTATCGATTGCAATAGGAGCAGTATATCACGGATTAAACATACACTAACCTAACAAATTTGTAATGTAGAAATCGATAAGACTGAATGAGTCATGCAATATCTCATCGTACATGACCAGACTGCATAATATCACATATCCTCATCTGACACTTAAACAGAACACAGGTTTCTGCCAGTATAGGTTTATTGACCTTTGGAACACCTAAGTCAACTGTTCTCTCCATTCACAAAATGAAATACACATACATTTTTTCAAGTTTTTTTCAAAAATTCTTTTCCAGACCTGCAGCTATTAATAAATTATGTCAATTTGGTCTAAGATTATCAAAAACGAATATAGTGAAATAAACGGGCAAAATATTGCACCAAAAATATAGCCCCAAAATGTTTATTAATAATAGTAAATACACTGCTATATATCACTGCTATTCAATATTGACAACTGTGGTCTAGTTTCACAAAAACAAGAACAGCCAGTGTAAACAAATTTATTTCAGTCATCCAATAAAATCCAGTATGAAGGCAAACTTTGGGTGATCGTTAAATTTTATTTTTTAATACCTTGATAGCACATGCTATTGATGTGCCAATCTTGTTGCCCAGATGAAAGTCACCATGACAACTTTTCTTTAAAACACCCGATGAATGTTCACGGATACAGAATGGTATTCTGTCTTTCACAAAATTACGGATGTTAACACAAAAACGGCATTAACCTTTTATTGAATTTTGAAGAAATCTTTTCATAATTGATACAATGCTTTTACAAACCATGCATTATTTAAGAGTGAATCCTAAGAACCCCAAAGTCAATTTTCATCAGCTTTAACAAAATAAAATCTGCACAACATTATTTCTAACATTTTGATCAACATCTGTAGCCAAATTGCAATTATCCAAAATATTTCGTTAGGGGAACCAGCGAGTAAAACTAGAAATCAACACCATATACTCGCTCTATAACTCAAAACTTGTCTTTTTAGCATGTATTTCTCACTGTTAAGGGGGTCACAGACCATGTCAATTTTTTGAATAAATTTACCCCGATTAGGGAGAAACTTGCTGGTCTGTACGAGTTTTATATCTTTTTAAATACAAAAGTTAATACTGCAATGTTTTTCAATCAGTTTATTGTCAAGTGTCATTCTGAGTTAATTTAAACAATGAATTAATTGGTTCAATTGTGGCATACGCACAAGAGGCATCTTATGAATACAAATTATTTAAATTAACTTTTTGAACAACAACTCTTTTAACCTTTCACAAAATAAACTACAGTTGTTGTACCCACAGATAATATTGCGAAATTTTTTTTAATCAAGGCCGGTAGCAATTTTGAATGTCCAATTAGTCAAAAATCCAAAATATTATCTGTACATACAATCTATATATCTACTGACCGTACATTGTAGGACTTCAAACTCACAACTGATTTATAATTTTAATTATACTAGCACCCTAGAGTATACAAGGAGTTGGTAAGATTAAGGGTGACAGGTGAGATATTAACCATATACTGTAAAATACTTTATTTTAGCTGAAATTAATTTTTGCTAAATAGACTTTTTGGACGTTTTGTATGGAATTTATTTTCACTGATCATTGAAGAGTTGAATGTAAAATATAGAAAAAAAAGGTATATTATCTTATCTTATTTTCATTGAATCATTCCTTCAGCGAAAATAGCGAAAATCAATTCCAATCGAAAATAAAGTATTCTACAGTACTCTACACAACCCACCCCCTTCATACACAATGTACTTTAGACTCTGATACAATTTTATATTCATACATTAGATTCTACTATTAACTAATAAATGAGGCTGTACTAAAACAGAAACCCATGGAACTGTAATTTCTTCCAATAGATCTATAGATACATATACATCAGAATTAAAGGAGAGTGGAAATTTTACCTATATGAAAAAAATGTGCTTTTAATAAGGTAGGCATAGTAGGCTTTAATAATGTGGTACATCGAGAGTCTATTAACTTGCACACACAGCTAATCATGTCTATTGATGGGACATAAAGGCCGGTTTAAAAATACAACAAGCATTATTATACATGTATAATACCATTCTTGTTTTTGTTACCATGGAAATGATACACCTTGTGTATATCAGTAGGGATGTGATATCTATCTAAAGGAAAGAAAATACAGCTATTTACTTTTCAAACATCATGGAACTCTCATTACACATCTCACTTATAGAGGCATCAGACAAAACAATGTTTATGTAAGAGTCTAACATTACATCCCTGTTTACAACAGGAAGTGCACTAAATAAGTGAAATGCACCATGGGAGTGACACCATGTTGAAGAACAGGGACGCAGCGCCCTGATACTCTCGGCTGGCGCCTTCTTACCAAACTGCCGATTGAACTTTCAAGTCATAAATATATTTCTTAAGCTGCGCAATTCCGTGCTGCCATACAACATGAAAACTTTCTCAAATATATTTTTCTCTGTGAAAAACTCCCCAGCAACACCAGCTGACAATGAGTCTGGACACCAAATACACTAAAATTACTCCAAAAATATTTCAATGGCGATAGATACACCATTAAACGGCGCAGAAACCTTCCGATCTGGAGTTTCCAGCTAGATCCGCCATGTTGTTTCTGTGGTAGCTACTCTCGCTCTGCTCGCCTCGCCTTGTTAATTTTTTCTAGAAAAACCCCCGGACTTGATTAATAAAGTAGTGAAACAGTATATAATGAGGTCTTTTTCACATTTTCCTTTAATCAAATTGAACTACCATCATTAAATTAGTTTTCCCTCAATTGTTAAGCACAAGTATCAAAATACGCAGCAAAAACACAGTTCTTGGGACAAGATTTAACTTATGTCACCCTTCAAAAATCAAATCCATCCAAATGTTTATCACATTTTTTCAAAAAATTTGATCA